ACACGTCCTTAGTGGTTATTTTTTAACTTTGCAAATAATTGTGATTTTTCAATTATCCATGGTCACGGGAGAGACTCTCTCCATGGATGCTGTAAAACATTCGAAACGTCGGGAACCAAAAAATTGTGTTAAAATGTGGTAATGTTACTTTACATGATGAATATTTAAATAATATTTATGGCGTCAAACAATTTATCCATATCCATACTAATATTATACTCGTAAATGTGAAAGTTTGTGAAGATGGATGGATGTTTGTTACTCTTTCACGCCAGAACGGCTGAACTAATCTGGATGAAATTTATCACAGACATAGATTATAGTCTGGAATAGCACATACGTTACTTTTAATCCGAAAAAATGTACGATTTCTGAGGGATAGGTATGTCTTTGTATAGGGACGAACTCGAAGCGAAGTGACGGTGTGTAACTAGTTTACTATATTTTCGCTTTCTATTTAGAGTTTCCAGTATTCTAAAAAAAGAGAAATCCGGTAAATTAAAAAAAACTGTTTTAAATTTTTTTCGCGGATTTATTTGTTTTTAGGTACCCGACGTTTCGAATGCTTTACAGCAAAACATAAAACCGTCTCTCCCGAACGTCTGAAAGGTCCTTCTATACGGAGTTGTCAAAGAAAGTATCTGCCCGTAAAATCTAACAAAAAGTAAACTTTCACAAAAATAAGATCAGTGACATAAACGTTTAAAGGATTATATTTAAATTGAAGCCGTTATATTTGCACGCTATTTAATAACTATATAGATCGAAAATAAAAAAATGATTACCTCTTTTCTTTACTTTTTGATTCAAAGTTATAGCGACCCATAACACATTGGATTAGAGTACTGACAAAATAATATATAGTAGAAGTCAATATTCACTAAGTAATTTACTGAAATGAGAATCGAACTGGTGACCTACATTCTATTAACTTGGATGTCAAGGCACGATATTCTGAAATCTAAGCTGTAATCTAAATTGTAATCAACGTTGACTTCACACCAAAAAAAGCTTTTCCCTAAAAGTTCATATTAAATCAAATCTCATCAACAGCTGTTCTCGCTATCTATTTTATTACAAATATTTTCCCTCGAATTTCCACTCTAAGCAAACCACATGACGCCTACATTATGCATACTGCGTTTAACGATAATATCAGATGCATGCATGATATTGTTATTGGAACGCTCGAAATTGCTTGTACCTTTGCTTAGACCAGAATAACTTTCGCTTAGCAGAAAATTAGAGCTTTAAAGCTGGTTTCGAGCTTAAGTCGTAAGGTTTTACTGTATTCCGATTGTAGCTTTTACTGTTGTTTATAAGCGAACTTATTTTGTTTATATTTTAGATCTACTTTCAGTTTGTTGGTTTCAAAGTTTGAAATAATAATGGCTGGTAAATACTTTAAAGTGCTATATATTTTAGTTTGTTAAAATAGAATATAATATGTATAAAGAGATTTTGTAAATAAATGTTTTTCAGCTCAATGGATTATTTGATAAATAAAGACGATGGAATTAAGTGCTTCAGTCTTATCTCGTTCTGATAATGTTGCAAGTTTCGTTTTTATGAAAATAAAAATAGTTTAGTAGTTCTTGAGGTCTCACTCACTAATAAGATTTTGCATTTATAATTAGCATGAAAAAACTAAAGTGGTAAATATATAATAAGTTCGAGGTATATACATACATTTATGTATGTATTTCGTATTCTAGGCACTTATATACTGTTTTCATCCCGTTTATATACGGGGGGGAGCAGGCCATTATCCACCACGCTGGCTTAGTGCGGGGCGGACTTCACATTATTCAAGTTTACTCACGATGATTTCTTTCACCGGAAGTCAGTATATATATATTACATAGCAGTATCAAAAATAGATCTCTTACTTAAGTACGATGATAAAATAAAATGACTGTCGAAGGTAACACTTAAGTGTTACCTTCAAAATTCAAAAACAAATTAGAGAATTTACATTCGTAAAGACACTAAATCAGATTTCAAATCCTTTAAGCATCAAATATAAGCTTTATATAAAATATAAATTGTTTGACGGTTCGTACAAAAAGTAGCTAACTCAAACAGCCGTTAGCAAATAATACCGTTGCCTTCAGGTACACGACAAATAATTCAGATTTACAGTTGGTTTCAAATTTTATATGAGTAAAAGTTTTAGGGTTTGAATGATATAGATATATTTTTTGTAGATGTTCTTTCTGTTGCTATATTCAAGGTGTTTGAATATATAGCAAGGGGTAAGTTATTATCATTTTAGTTAGTCTGCGTAATTTATTTTGAGCACAGGGGTCAATCTTCCTGAGACAAATGAGATAAAAAGAATTTTTTTTATCAAGTTTTGGACTCGAAACCACCACCTCCGAATCTGCAGCCGTACAACAGCCACTGGACCAACGAATCATCATAGATAAATAATGAAAAAATATAACAATTTCCTACAAACTAGCAATACTATTAACCATGTCAGTAAAAGTATATGTACATTTAAAATGGTACAATATATCGCGCAGAAAAAGCTATAATAAAAACATTAACGACCCTACTTTCCAACTTTTCAAGTTTATAAAATTCATGAAAATTAATTCGAAAGTAGTCCGCTAAGTCTCAATTGCCTCATAAAAGGCTTTGGTGGAGTCGTAATGAAACTTTTTCACGGTAATTAGGGTTGCTTGAAGCAAATCGAAAAACGTAACGCTATTTAGGTAAGAGGTTTAACGCTATGTTAAAAAGAAAAAAATTATCATATATAATGTTGTTATATAACTTCTAGTACTACTGATCTATACATACGTACATATAATAAAATTCTGAGTCGAATCTGTACATTTTTGTTTTTTAGTAAATCTTATTGAACTAGTCATTATTATCAAAAGTCAGCAAAATCCATATTTTTTACAATTCTAGGAAAATACAGTGCAGGTGTAAATCGTTTGTTGTATATAAATACATAATTTTATCGAATATTTATTACTCAATATATAGTACATCCGAATAAAATATAAAACCAAATTTCCATTTCACTATGTTATTTTACTTTAACTGCATTTAACAATTTTAGTGGAATATTATTTTTTTTGAACGGAACCCTCATTCTTTTTCCTAAATAAAATTTGCCTAAGTTACTCCTTATCACATCAGCTATCTGCCAGAAAGTCCCGTCAAAATCAGACCAGCCGTCCCAGAGATTAGCCGAAACAAACAGACAACCAAAAATTTTACAATTTGTGTTTTTGCTTATAAGTATATAATTTCATATGCATTTAGTAAAAAAGCTGTAATTTTGACATTACAAACAGACACTTCAATTTTATTTATCTGTATAGATAAACTGGTAATTCTGTATTTTGATGAGAATAAACCTATACAGTCTATATTATATAGTCAGTTACATATATGTGATGCTTTGTTAGAACTGTGCGGTGTCGTATTTTATTACAGCATTTGCATTTGAATGAAGGTCCCAATTTCAAATCAATGAAATAATTCAGCACACGTTCAAATTGAATGTCATTAGAATATTAATAATAAAAATGTTTATTGACAGCGTTTAATAAAATTTCCTCTAATGTAGAGAAAATCAGACCCAGCGGTCATGCACTCGCTTGGAAAACTGAAACTTGGGTTCAAATCCCGGGTCTCACAAATCAGATATCGTTATGTGCAAATCATCTATCTATACATATATCAAATTCTAACTGAATCGAATCTGTCCATTAAATATATTTTGGAAACCTTATTGAAATAGTCATTATTATCGATGCACAGGTCGAATCTATAGTTTTTAGAATTTTTGTCTATCTGTCTGTCTGGGAACGTATCACGAGTAAACACCTGAACGGATTTTAATGAAATATATTATGATGTTAGCTGGTTATCCGGGTCAACATATAGGATACTTTTTAGTGCGGGAAAATGTCTCATCTCTGAGAAATCTATACTAAACGTTAAAACGTACGAGGGCGAACCCAAGCGGGGCGAGGGTGAGTCGCTAGTAATACATATGTTTTTGATATTAATACCGTATATTGTACTTTTTTGATTTTTGCGAATATTTGACATCTATACATATTATAAAATTGTAACTAATCCGAATCTGTACATTAAATATTTTTTGGAAAATGTTATTGAAATAAACGTTATTATCGATACAGAAGCCGAATCTATAGTGTTTAGAATTTTTGTCTGTCTGTCTGTTACCGCATCACAGAAAAACCACTGGAGGGATTTTGATGAAATTTCGTATGGTGGTAGCTGGTTATCCGGGTCAACATATAGCATACCGCGGGAAAATGTCTCATTTCTGAGAAAAAATACAAAAACTACAATGTAAGAGTATACTAATATATAAGATCTAAGAATTTGGGTTTTGGTCATCTGAACGCGAGCGGAGCCGCGGGCAATGCTAGTTCTTAATAGAACTATATTTTAAATGTTTTACGCTAAAAAAACAAAAACACGTATATTTATTTTTTTAAACTCTTAAATTCTATAAATGAGCTAGTACATTACTATATATTTTGCTACAGTAATCATGTTAAATAAAGATAGCTTTCTTGAAGTAAAATACGAGACTGAAAATGTTTCGTCATATATTTATAAAAATTATGTTATACAGTTTCCCCACTAGACCCATTTAATGGCTCGGTGGTCTACTTTAGGGTATATACGTTGAAGGTAACAATAAATAAACTGATCGTATTTGTACTATCTATTTATACATATATAAAATAAAACGAATGTTCGTATATTTGTCCTTTAAGCGTTTCTAAACAATTCATCCGATTTTAATGAAATTCTGGCGGGTTACTCTGTATACGTCTGCAAATGTTTCTGACCTAAAAAAAACATTTTTTGGATGTTTGTTTTTTATGCATTCTTGAACTATTTTAGCTTAGAGATGCATGTGAGTGAAGCAAGGGTAAGTAACTAGTTCTATTTAGTAAAAAATGTTAGAACTCTAAATAATTTTATTAGATACTTACCATCATTTTTGGCGTCTTCCTGTAGGGTACCTGTAAGAACAAATAATAATCTTTGTTTATTAATCACATGACTCATGTAGTAAAGATTAAAACAAATTTCTGGTCTTAAGGTCGATTCCTCCTCTCAGAAGTAATATATACTATAAATAAATGTCCATATTTCTAGCTTCTAAAAAGATGAACTTTTATACTAAAATTCATTCTAATTAACCCTTTTAGGTGATAAAAATTAATTACCATTTCTTAAAGCTCACCTTCTTTGCATATGGAGCTCTTGTTCAAAATGTTATGCACTAAGTTTAGCCCTAGGTTCCACCCACGTAGTAGGTAGTAGTATCGATAAAAATTAGTGGTAAAATATTCGATGAAATTTATATGATTGCAGTTATATTTTGCTTTACTCAATCAAAAAAAAATTGTGTGAATGTAGTCATGCTACGATTCAAACTGAACAGCTTAAAGATTTGTTGTGAATATATTTGCTACGCCGGAGAGCTGCTACGCTTACGTAATACTTCCTCTTTTAATCTCTTGGTATTGGTGGTATTTTATTGATTTAAAAAAACCTTTATTTACAAGAAAGCAATATATTTATTTATAATAATAATAAAATAACATATATACCTAATTGTATTCTATACATATATTTTATTTATTTATATTAGTTACATTTTCAAAGAAGAAACAAGCACTGGTTTAGAATGTAATATTTTTTTATTATAATATTTTGCAAATTTACCTCACGGGTAGTTTTATATAAATTCCATTGCTCCGGGCGAAATTATTATATTCGAAAAAGTTTCGACGTCAGTGGCCCTTTTAAGTTAAAAAGTTATTATATCTGCACTAAGCTTTGAAAAATAATTTCAATTTAGAATTTAATGTTTGAGTCTAAATTATAGTACAAGTGCAAATGATTTATCAATATATTAACTACTAGCTGCTCACCTTCGCTTCGCTAGTGTCCGCTTTAAGAAAAACCAGAACATATCTATCCCACAGGAACCGTACATTTTTCCGGGATCAAATATAGCCTATGTGTTATTCTGATATATGAGCTATATTATTGTTAAGTTTCATTAAAAGTAATTCAGTAGTAGTTTTTGCGTGAAAGCGTAACAAATTTCTTTAGCATTTACAATATGAGTAGGAAGTAGTATTGTGCAAGCATCATAATTCTTAGATTAAAAGAATAATTAAAATTAATGCTTTTGTATTAGTAACCCACCATTGATTCATTTGTCTCATCTCTATGTAATTATAATCGAAGAACTTAATTTTATTCATATTAACTTTAAGATTCTTATTCATATTTAAATAATTAGAATTTTAAATCATTTATCATATGTGCATATATTTATTTATAAACATTATTTTCCCAGTCGTAAAATTATTTAGGGTACTAGCATTGCCCGCGGCTCCGTCCGCGTTCAGATGACCAAAAACCAACATCTTAGGTTTTATATATTAGTTTACTCTTACATTGCAGTTTTTGTATTTTTTCTCAGAAATGAGATATTTTCTCGCGGTAAAAAGTATCCTATAAGTTGACCGGGATAACCAGCTATCACCATACCAAATTTTATCATAATCCTTTTAGTAGTTTTTCTGTGATGTGGTAACAGACAGACAGACAGACAAAAATTCTAAAAACCATAGATTCGGCCTCTGTATCGATAATAATGTTTATTTCAATTAGATTTTCCAAAAATTATCTAATGTACAGATTCGTCTTAGTTACTATTTTATTATATGTATAGACTACTGGGTTTTTCAGCCGGTCAATCTCACCTGTACGTATGCAGGTACGCGTAAATTTCCAACGTTAAAGAAAATCGAAATTCGACCACTTTTTTTCATTGATAACGTTAATCGTAATATACTAAACGAAAAAAGGTACAGATCTCTCTTATTTTTGTCTATTAATTGTAGTATAACTAAGCAGTTAAAATCATACCAAATTTCACCAAAATCTGTTCAGTGGTTTTCTCGTGTTGCTTTCCTAGACAGATAGAGAAACAAAAATTCTAACAACTATAGATTCTGCCTCTGTATTGATAATAATGACAATTTCAAAAAGATTTTCCAAAAAATATTTAATAGACAGATTCGACTCAGTTGAATTTTATTGTATGTATAACTATAGATATATAGATAAATATGCACATGCACAAATTTTCGAAAAACTTTATACATCCCTTTAATATGATCACTAATCCTAGGAAATGAAATACAATTAATATATCCGGTAAAAAAAACTTTTAAAAGCTCACTTTAGTTAATATTTTATTGGCAACAAAACTCATATACTAAATGGCACAAAAGTTGTACTAGAAGTTGAACCGTCGACGTGAGGTACCGACCCGTGATCGAGTCACAGGGCGTGAGACGCAAGCACGCGTGACGCTCACTTTCGCGTATAACATTACCTAAAATGAATAAAAAGTTATGAATACCCATCACACATAAATTATTTTGTTAGTTGGGTTTCTTTATTTAGATACTAATTTGTACACGCAGTTTTGTATTTTTCTTTTCATATTATTTACATCCCGATTAAATATACATAGAGGTATATGTATTAAGTTTTATTGAAACTTGTTCAACAGCTTACGACAAAGATCTCAACACGTTGGCTCTGTTTGTACTGACGCTACTTGCTGTGCCAGCGTTGGGCATTCATTTATGTGATGAGCACGAATATTTGTACTCCAGTCATGGGTGTTTATATTTATAATATGTATGTATTTAAAGTTATATATGTATATCAACTATCTGGTACCCATAACACAAGCCTCGTAGCTTACCATGGAACTAGATGATGCTGTGTGGTGAGCCCGTGACCATAGGTAGGATTGGGTCACTACAAACTGAGCCAAACGTGTCGTCAATAACAACTATTTTGTAGGGTGCTAACTTCCAGCAGCGATAGTGCTTAAAAATATGTAATACTTTTGCTGGATAACCATATGAAATGGGTTCAAATGGAATCGATTTCAAATGTCTGTGATATTCCTGTGTGAAAGAAAGTTCAGTCAGAGTATGTCAAACTGTATACACATGAAAATTAATATTATTCAGAAATAGAAAAAAACCACTATATCGCAGTAACGAGACTGGTTTTAAAAGTGGCAATAATAAACTCTGAGCATGCAAATATCGTATCTAGTATGAGAGCGTCACGCAGCGACCCATGCTCGAGTCTCCAGACGTAGCATGTAAGCAGGCGTGACGTTTTACAATAATTGCCACCAAAAGTACGTGACGTCAGAAATATTTTTACTCTACATCGCCCTGTTGCCTACGTGACGTAAGTACTGATATAGCCAATATTTACTCAATACGTGTAGGTTTTTTTTGTGTATATCAAGGGATACCGTCGTCAATTATAAACCGATTTTTATGATTCTGTTATAAGCTCTCGCAGTTTAAAAAATATTTCTAATCCCAAAGAGTGGTGTAACTACTTCTACAGTACCTACATACAACCACACATACAAACACCTTTATTATAATATATATATATATATATATATACATATATATATATATATATATATATATATATATTAAAGTCGATTGGATTTACCCTCGCTTCGCTCGGGTACGTACCTGTATGCGCAGACTTTGTTCTCAATTTTCATGGATTTTCATTTTTTTATGCCTAATTTAATTTTTATTCTAAAATAAAAGTGACCTAAATTACTCCTTATGATGCCAGCTACTTGCCAGTGAAGGTTTCGTCAAAATCTTTCGAGCCGTTTCGGATATTAATCGGAACAAGCAAACAAACATTTAGTAAAAAGCTGTTATATCAACATTACAAACATACACTTCAATTTTATTTATTTCTATAGATAAAATAAGCAAACAAAATTTTAATATACGTAATCTCATAACCTGGATATATTGATCGATTAGAAATCTGTCCCATATCTCCTCTCGAACGCTTAAATTTACATGTTGAATACATTCAAATGCAAATTGTTGAACAAGATGCATGTACGCGTATGTCATATACATAGTACGAAATAAGTATTCTCCCTGCCAAGCCCAAGCCTGTCAACTCTGTGTTTTCAATTTGTATTACTGACTATTCATGGCTGAAGTCTATTTTTGCGAGCTTTTATTTAACCACTAGCGTTTTAGTTTGTGAATCTACTAGAAGCTTTTTAATGGTAAGCTCTAGTCTTGTACTAAGCTCAAATACACCTCAAGTTAACAAATAATTTCACGCGCTGATATAAAATTTTAGGTCTATTTCTATGGGTTGTAAACTATCCGACACTTAGTTGTTGTGTAGAAGGATAAACGAATAAGCTAAGAAATGGATGAACGCGTTCATAATATTCGCTCGCTTCGCTCTTGTTCGTCCCTAGTTAAGTTTTAACTGTTAGTATGAAATGGATAGAATATATAATGTAAATTATAAGATACATACCCTATAGCTTCCCTCAATAAACGGACTATCTAACGCAACGAATTTTTCAAGTCGGATTAGTCGTTCCTGAGATAAGCGCGTTCAAACAAACAAACAAATAAATAAACAAACAAGCAAACAAAGAAACTTTGCCTCTTTATAATATAAGTATGAATTAAGGATAGTTTATGTTTATAATATATTACACAAATATTTTTATATATAAGGGTATATATAAATTTCATACTTCTAATTTTAATCGAACCCGCAATACACTAGTGTAGACACCTATCTTCAAAGTAATATAAAATTTTAACACCAAACGTCATACATTTAAGTTTTAAAGTCGGAGATTTAAAGAGAAATCTCAAACCGTGAAAGTATAAAATAAAGTCGACCGGCGGTGGAAATGGTTATTGCAGTGATGTACGGGCCCCGCAGGAAGTACTGAAAACACGCTTTTTACAAGCCGGTGAATTTTATTTTTTTAGCCTTAGATACTCTACGTATATTCACGTTTTACTGTTTTCCATTTTAGGAGAGTGATTTTACAGCATCTTATATGGGCAAGATCTTCATCAGATTTGATATCATGGTATTTTTATAGTAAGGAATAAATTTTACTCGTTTTTATATAGGTTGTGCAAGGTTAAATTCAATTTTTTTTATTCTGCAAGAAATTCAATTTTTACTGAACGTTATAGTCTACTTCTTTTTTTTTTTTTATAGTCTACTTCTAGTCCAGCCAAAGTTTGGAGAAGAATGTCGAAAAAAAGTCAGTGAGAATAAAATTAATACCTTTTTTTAAGTTAAATAATTATTAAAATAGCTTGAAGGCTATCACATCATTCTCAAAGTGTTATCTTTTATAAAATTATTTGTTTCAGAGTAACCTTTAGCATGCAAAAATTCTTTAACAAGAACTTTAACACGACCAATGATATCGAAACCTGTTCGGTATATAGGCATAAAAAAGTATCAGACCCACAGATAGACTTTCGTATCCCTATCTAGTGTGGATGAAGACTTTATATTAAAGCTCACTCACCAAAAGGGCCCTCTGCGCTCCAAAACGAATCATCCAGTGTATAGTCGGCTTCTGAAACAAGGAGACAACGGTTTTATGACTTTTTAATAAAACTATCTAGATACTTATTATATATGATGTATAAATCTAAACCCAATAGATCTTTCATTTGACGTAGGGTAGTTTTACGTCACAATTACGTCACTAGGGAAGAAATTAAAAAGCCATTTTTTCGTGTTGTTGTCCCCTCGTTCAAGAAATTTTTTGAAACGGATAATATTTTGAGATTTTATCACGTTTCGTTAGGGGACTTTTTTATCTCCTTAAAAGAAATATTGCTAGATGTTCGAAATTAAGTGCTTGGTTATGCCACAGATTATATAATACTATACGGTTATGCCTCATTGCGATAAAAAGAGCTCACTTCGCAATTATAATCTATACATAATATTATAACTAAAACTAGAGGTCGAATGTCTGTATATTGAAAAAAATTGCTTAAAAGCGAGTCAAGAGGATGTAAGAAGAGATATAAAACAAATCTAGATTTTTTTCAATTTTTTATTTCTCTGTTTGTTTATCTGTTTGACTATTTATCTGTTTGTCAGTTTGTACAGGCCAATCTCCGAAACCGTTAGACCGATTTAAATGAAATTTTGCATGGTGGTACCTTATATCCCCGGTCAACACTTTAAATACTTTTCATCTCGGAAAATTAGAGTTCTCGTGGGATAGTTAAAAAACTATAGTAAATTATACACCTTAGTATGCAAAAACTATTGATTGAATTTTAATGAAACTTTACAATAATATAGTTTATACATCAGAATAACAAATAGGCTACTTCTTATCCTTAAAAATGTATGGTTCTCGTGGAATAGATTTGTATTTGTTTGTCTAGTTAAGAAATTTACTGATATAATCACTAAACATTGATCATGAAGTAGGTCCAATGAATATTATAAAAAGCGAAGCATTCTAACAAAATGTGCACCATCGTTTACCTACCAACCCTTAAATACACACGATGGGTTAAAACTCCAATTATTTCTCATTTTACATATTTTATGCAACATTTCACCTACATAAAGACGATGCCTTTCATGCCGTCCAACGAATTAATTACTCACAATCTGTGAACTGAAAACAAATCTTTTGTTGACGCTATTCAATAATTGTTTTTTTTTTGGATAAAATCATTCACTGATAAATGAAGCAAAAAAGGTTGTATTAACAATTAATTAATTAAATGTACTCATAAACGGTTGCGGTCACAGCAGCCATTTTACTGAGATCAACCATCTGTGCATGATTATTGTATCGAATGCAAGTCTATTTCTGTAGCTTTTATAATCAGTGATACGAAAATTCAATCGATCAGTGAGAGATTATGTGCAGAACTTCTTTACTTATTCTCGAGAACAAGAGGGAGTGGTGTCAATTTTCTAACTACAAACTATTGCTGAGTATTTCGTAACAGAAAATGTTATAACCTATTTTACGTATATTCTACTATACCTATGGATAGACCCGTGACTCAATTTTGAACCTAGATCTAGACCTAGAACTAAACCAGAAAGGCAAAAAAAACTAAATAATGTATATATTCTTTAATGAAATCTTTAAAGTTCTACAGTAGGATAGTGGTGTATACAAACACTTAGAGAGAACAGATCACAACACAGATTCATTTTAAATATAATATTTTAAAACCATTTTTTATAAGTTGAAACATCAATATAATATGATAAATATAAGATTTTTGTCTTCATTTGAACCATAAAAGAGTTTAACATATAATAAGCCATACCTCTAAAATTATTTACAATAAGTGAAGTTATAAAAGCATTTCCATCTATATATGTATAAAGGTTGTCAACATTAAATCAATTTTAATTTTCAACGAATTTACCGACGGCCATGAAACCCTTTCGCGAACCAAAATTGACATCAAAAGCGTTTAAAAGCCCTACATGTTAAATTTAATTAAGTAACATTATTAAAAATATTAGTAATATTATATTTCATATTATTTATTATTTTGACGTTACGATTGGTTCAGTTTGTACTTGCTGTGACAGTGGTTGCGGGTTCGAGTCCCGCTGGGGGGCACAAATGTTTGTACTCCAGTCATGTGTTTATATTTATAATGTATGTATTTAAAGTTATATATGTGTAGTGCATCAATTATCTGGTATCCATAACACAAGCCTCGTAGCTTTCCATGGAACTAGATGGAGTAGTGTGTTAATGTCCCAACATATTTTTTTATTTATATTTATTATTGAGTTAAGACAGAAGCATATATCAGAAAAAGATCCAATATTTTTAATTACAAAATAAGCTACGTTTAAAGCTTTATATAGTAAAGAAAAATTTAATTAAAAAATAGAATATGACGCTACATACAAAGGAAAAAACGTCATACAGAGTATATTTTCTTGATAGAAATGTATTTTCCAGTGCACTTCCGTCGTCAATTTAATATGGAGTTTTGCTTTTAGCGACAGGATGTTGTTGGGTCTGAATATATCGCTGATGTATTGCATATTCTCGTTATATCTAATGATTTATTATAAAATAAACAGTATACGTGATAAACATTCCCCATCAGTAATATAAATAGATGCTTGAAAAGTTTTCTTTATTTGTAACTTCAAAAATGACGAATTTCTATGCAAGCTTCGATTTTTTTAAGCTTATAAGGGATGAATTCAAAATTCCTTCTATATTGTTTATTTTGCAATAATAATTTAGTCCATTTTAAAATCCACCACGATGGCCTATCGCGGGTTGGTGCCCTCCCAACGTGCGTTCACCTTGTCGTGGTGGGGGGCTCAGTAGTGCCCGGCAACCCAACCGGGCGCGAAGCCAAGAAACGCACAGGGAGGTGGCCCACTTCGGTGGGCGGTGGGAGGTGGCCCTCTTCGGAGGGCGGTGTACCATGCGGGTTGCTCCTGGTACTTCTCTGATAGCAGAGTGGACCTTGGAGCAACCCCGTGGTTGTTGTGGTCTGCTTCGGCAGACCTGCCGTCGGGGCGTCGTAGTTGAATGCGTAAGCGATCCTGCGACGCCCCATTAAGACGGGGGAAGGTTTTGTTGGGTTTTAGTGAGTAGTACTGGCTTCGCCGGTGAGTCCCACACCTCGTGCGTAAATGCATTTCCCAACGTTAAAAAAAAAATCGCGGGTTGGTGGACTTCACATATCTTTCGAAAACTTGCTATGATCTTTCAGACATGCAGGTTTCCTCACGATGTTTTATTTTATCGTATTTACAAGAGGTAATCTCTATTTTTCATAAAATAAATTGTATTTTTTATCAAAAAGCTCCTTCTAGCTTTTGTTGTTATAAACAACTACGAGTATGTTTCGCAATTATTCCTTGAAAATTCACGTGATTCGCTTAGTGGTATAGTATTGTTAGTTTTATCGAGGAAAAATATTGGCAGCTTATTTTAAATTTGTACAGGACACAAATGTTTGTAAAAAGCATGATCTGAGCTTTTGTGCTTTAATTAATGTAATAAATATTATAATAAAATTCTGAGTCGAATATGTACATTACATATTTTTGGGAATATCTAATTGAAATTGTCATTATTATCAATACAGAGGCCGAACCTATAGTTTTTAGATTTTTTGGCTGTCTGTCTGTTTGGGAACGCATCACGAAAAATCCACTGATTTTTTTGATGAGTATGATGATAGCTGGTTATCCAGGTCAACATGTAGGATACTTTTACTGCGGGAAAATATATCATCTTTGAGAAATCTATACTAACGCATAAAACGTAAGAATAGTATATTATTATAAGTTTAAAAATAAAAAACGTGAGGGAGTTTCACAGTGACATTGCTTTGATCGAAATATCAAAAAGGATGGATGGAAGTAAAAGCAATTTGGATGTTTTTTGTGTACAAACTACGTAATATCCTTGCCAATCAATAATGGATAATTTTCATTATTATTTTGTAAATTAATTTATATATTATATTTGACTACTTTGTAATATACAGGATTAGGAAACACAATCCTAAAGGTTACATGATTCAACAAATATATTAAATTGTGAAGTCGGTGTACTTTTTAAATTAAAAAGTAATTTTTGTCATCATACTGAAATCGAACCCACACCAACGTTGGCATTATATATGAATACAAATTTTCATTTCTCAAAGAGAAATCCTAATCATATTACTGACGATGACCCAAACATCTAATTTGCAAATCAAACAAAAAATATCTTCAAAGAAACGTCAGAATATATTTAATTCAGTATTCAATTTAGAGCCGAACACTTCAAACGATAATTACGGAGAAGATGATGAAGAAGAATAAGTTATATAAATACTTATATAATAAGCTAGAATATATAAAATATATACTAATATTATAAATGTAAAGGTTTGTGAGGATGGATAGATGTTTGTTACTCTTTCACGCCAGAACGGCTGAACTGGTTTGGATGAAATTTGGCACAGAGATAGATTATAGTCTGGAATTGCACATAGGTTACTTTATATCCTAGAATAATGTACGTTTCCCGTGGGATAGATTCGTTTTTGTCTATTGATGAACACGAAGTGAAGCAAGGGTGAGTCGCTAGTATTATATGATAACACTGTATTAAATAATTATTTCGACAAAAGCTAATTACAACGTTAATTTAGAAGTAAGCGGGAAAACAACCAGAAGCTATTAATCTATACAGATAAATAAAATTGAAGTGTCCGTTTGTAATGTAAAAATAAGGTACTTATAAGATAACACATTTTTTTTAATTTTTGTCTGTCTGTCTGTTGTCCTGGATAATCTTTAAACCGACTGGACTGATTTTGACAGGACTTTCACTGGAAGATAGCTGATGTTATAGGGAGTTACATAGGCTACTTTTATTTTAGAAAAAGAATTAGGGTTCCGCTCAAAAAAATTATAACGTATCTAGGGACGAACCCGAGCGAAGCGAAATTTTATTTCTGACAATCTATACTAATATTATAAACGGACAGAGTTTGTTTGTTTGAACGCGCTAATCTCAGGAACTACTTATCCGATTTGAAAAATTCTTATTGCATTGGATAGCTTGTTTATTGAGGAAGGGACATAATATAATATATAGTCTATCTATTCTATACTAACCGTTAAAACATACTTAGGGATAAACCCGAACGAAACGAGGGTGAGTTTTGCAGTTCCAATAATATTACATACATACGTGTAGAATTGATAACCATCTTTTTTTGAAATCGGTTAAAAAAGAAACATACAGACAATATTTGCATTAAATAAAACTTGTTACGATTTTGTTTTCTTTTCAATTCAAAAAGTAGGTTACGGAGTCATAGCATGTCTTTTTAAAATTCTACTTGATACAGCAAAAATATCTGTAGTAAATTAGTAATTAACATAAAAATCCATCGCAGCGCGTCCAATTTTTGGTTTTAATTAAAAATGTCGCGGCGGAATACAATTTTACTATTTTTTTAATTTGCGCGATATCAATCGAAAGAGCTTTTGCGACTCTATTTTCATCATTATCTTTGTGTGTATTGAAATCTGACCTGAAGTTTGAGTATCTATCTCTACGCTTACGATCGCTGGTTCAAGACGGACTTGTGATATATTGCTACAAGCTAGAATCTAATCCAAATATTTAAAATGATAACTGTATAAGGGAGTCACTTAGAGCATTACACGTACCCCTTTTTTAATGTTGGGACATTTCTCATTCATGCATACCAGTTGTATACATACAGGCGGCTATATGATATTCTCCAACCAGATATTTTTTGGAGGAGATTTAATACACATAGAGCGAGGAACTAATGTACCAATATAATGTACAAAACCCTTTATTTAAAAACCACTACGTGTTTTGTATTAACAGAGCTCCTGTAATATAACATTTATAGCACGACTAGCATTGCCCGCAGCTCCGCCCGCGTTCATATGACCAAAAACCAAATTCTTAGGTTTTACATATTAGTATACTCTTACATTGCAGTTTTTGCATTTTTTCTCAGAAATGAGATAGATATTTTCCCGCGGTAAAG